TTGTTTTTCCCACATAGCATAGAGATAAAACCAGGATATTCTTTATTTGCTGAAAAAAAGAAATTCGTTTAACCAAGTGCAGATTGTGAATACAAAAGATAAGATTATGTCAAGAATAACATGTGATGATTTAACAAAACCATGGTGAAGTAAGTTCAGGATTCTAAGTGTTTAGACATAGGTTTGAATTTCAGCTTCAGTATGGACAAGCTTGAGATTTCAGGCATTTAATGCCCCTGAGCTTTAATTTCTTTATAAATTGAAATGCTTTTAGTTAATATCAAGACATGTGTAGCTGGAACAAATCCTAGAGATCACCTGGACCAAACTCCTGATGTTAATGATGAAGAGACTTTGTCCCAAAGCGTGTAAATGATTTACACAGTGCTTCTTACTAACAGCGTTGAATTAAAAAGCAATCTACCTTCCATTCACTATCTCTAACCGGCTTTCATTTCTGTTTACCAAAATGACTGTCAAGCATCTACTTCCCTGCCCCCAGTCTCCAACTTGTTCCATCTCTTCTTCCCCTTCTGACCTCACAGTTGTCAGAGAAAGCTTCCTGACTTGGAACTCTGGGCCCAGATTCTCTTTCCAACTTCTCTGCTAGCCCTCTGCTCAACAGATCCTGTGTTCCAGCCAAAACAAACTTCTTGTCATTCCCAAAAAGACTCTGCCTTTTCCCATTCCATTATGTTTCCACTAGTCTTTCCTTGCCAGAGTATCCTTCCTCCCAGGCTATCAGATCCACTCACTTCCGTGGAGACACCTTTATTGATTCCCTCAAGGAGAGTTCATCAATACCTCTTCTGTTCTCCCTCAACAATCTGTTCGTAATGGAAGTCACAGTTTGCTTTGCTCTTGACATATCTGTTTTGCTCCTTAGAGCGTGATGGTCCTTAAAGCTCAGGATCAAATCTTATTTCGTCTATTTACCACAGTGTCAGCACTTCCACAGTGTCTGGCAGATTGGAGGCACACAATAATTGTTTTAGGAATAAACATATCTGGGTCTCTGGGCCCCTAACCCATCTGGGCTCTGTGTGTTTGGTATCCCTTAGGTATATCAAGAGACAAGGATAGAGAGTGTATAAAATGGGTCATTGTAATGGTTGGCCTAACAGCTCCAATTAATGTAGGCTCTGCTGAAGTCTAAAATTAAAACCCCTATTATTGGGGATTACTGGATAGGTTGCCAGAAAGGCAAAGGACTCCTTGAGAATCAGATCCACAGAACAAATATGCATGTGTGTATGTGTGTGTGTGGGTGTGCGTGTGTGTGTGTGTGTAGGTAATACTTATGACTAAAACATGTACCACACCAGATTAATTCTTCTATCACTAGTCTCTCTCTAATAAGAATTGTGTGGACAGATGGGTAGATATCTGAAACCTAGTTAAACTCTCTTTTATGCTCTTCCCTTGAGCTCCATGATTGCCCTTACCAAGGGTTAAGATCTATAGAAAGAAAGTTGCTATTATTTAACTCCTGTATAAGGTATTCTTCCTTAATTTCAGCTGCTGTTGCTGCAGCTCTGATGGTATCTACCTGTGTTAGCATTTGTGTTGCCTCTGGCTCCCTCCCTCAGCGTATTTGCACTGCATGCAAGAAACAATCTCTCAGTCAAGACAAGAAATCCTGATTCCTGTGGTTTGTCCACCTTAGGACATTCGTGTCTGACTGGTTCATTCTCACCACCCAGTACTGCCCACTGGGATTTTCAAGGTTCACACTATCTTCTGAGCATCTGCTTCTCAACACAGCGTGCTTTACCTGCTCCCTGTCCCCCATCCCATCCCCAAGAAGTGCCCAGTAGATCTTGGGTATTATTACGGCTTCAGAATTCTGTGATCAATCACAAGCTTTGCCATATTTACAGTCTTCTAAAAGGTCATACCTGGTGAATGGTCACAGTGGCAATGACCTTCCTATCAAATCTCTGCTGGTCGCGCAGACCACCATGAATACACTTCTGAGTTAGATACGATGTCTCAGTCTTGTATCCTGGCCAACACCATACCACAAAACCACTAGATAAATCTCTGCAACCTTTATATTTTACTCAATCTTCCATTGCATTACTCTCCACACAGTGGTGATAAGATGCTGACCCTGCATAAAACAAGCCTTATTTGATATGGCAAAGATATCATTTATCTTCAGATCTACACTGAACGAGCAGATAAGCTTTTGTCAGCACTTTTAATTCATTTACCTCTTACATGGTATGTATGTGATTCACATCTCTCCAGTATCCAGGTCTAGATTCTATCTATCTATCTATCTATCTATCTATCTATCTATCTATCTATCTATCTACACACACATATATATGTATACATACACATATATAATAGCATATGTATGTTAAGGCTACGGGTGCTATTGTAATAGACAAGTTACAATCCTAAGACACCTTTTTTAAATGTAATTAAATTCCATTATCCTTCTGTGTTTCTGGGTCCCAGAGCAGTTTAGAAGAGTCTCTGCCTTATATATATACACACACACATATATACACACACACACACACACACACACACATATATATATATGCTATTGCCCCAATAATATCTTTACTCCTACTCAGAATTTAAGAATTTAAGGAAGTATTCTATAAACTTCAAATAAGGTTTACACCTATAAATTTTGTTAGACATCATCACCAGAAAGTAGACATGAATGTGATATGCTGTATTCTTAACAATTTGATGCACATTCGTTTTAATTCATTGAAATGAACATCATTCACAAAGAAATTCAGATGTTCATTATAAGCCTTGAGGCTGAAACTGTAACTGTTTGCCAAGATTTGAAATTGTGTGAGTGAAATGGAAAGGTTGCCAGCTTACATAATTATAGCTACAGAAATATATAGTGTGGCTGAGTAGTCAAGGAGTTTAATCAGTGTGGTTAAAGAAATAACAAGTGCTTCTGTTCATAATTTTGCCACATTTCCATGGCAAAAGGCCAAATGCATTTAATCCAATTCAAGGATGACAAGGAGGGTTGATGGCCTCTAATGAGCAATTGATTAGCAGTAAACACAGAGATATTAAGAATCTAGTTTAATCTCTCTGTAGAACAGGAGGGTCATTTCCCTTTGCTGTGGCTCTTCATCCTGGCTTATTTATAAAGAGTAAGAAGGGAAAATGTAATTCTTGGATTTTATTACTTAAAGATAATGACCCCAAATTGTGATGTAAACATAAATCTTGTTTTAAAAAAAATGTGTGCAGATATAACCTACAGTGTCTAGCAACTCCCTTAAGGCATGACCTAGGTTTTTGGTCTAGAGATACTGAAATGATTGTGGGGGAGGGGCTTAAAAATGTATTGTGCTATATTATTATCTCAAAGACTGATTATTATGCAAAAGTGTGTTCCAATTTCAATTTGAAAAACTACTAATTTGTTCTCAACCACTGTAATTTGGCATCCCATGGGATGATATGTGGGGATACACGGGAAACTTTGGAAGGTTGTTGGTTTTGTGACATGATTAACCAAGGCTACTTGGCTGAGATTTCCACTGTCTAAAGCTACAGTAACATGGTGGCCACACTGTAACTTATCTTAGCTGGGAACTCATACTAAACAGAACACAATAAGGACCTGAGAACGTAGTAAGAGAAGAGAATACAGCTTGGTTGGATTTTTATGCAGCAAGATAGGAAAGGGTTAGAAGAATATGTTTCCATTGAGTATGTAGCATTGGTTATGTAGTCGCACTGCCTTGTGCTGGCTGTCCGGAGCCTGCTGAGGTCCTGCTAGCATACAGCATATTAAAGATGTGGGAGCACTCTAAGGTATCTGACTGTAGATGATAATTCAACTCGATGAAGCAAATGTTTGCTGAGTTCCTACTATATAAGCTGGAGAGTATGGAAGTTGGGCATACAAAGATGATTGCTGTATAATAGAAACATTTATTATTTTAACTAATAAACAGTTGCCTTTTAAAATAATTAATATATTTTAAAAACTTTTCCTTTTGGTGTTACTAACTTATGGTTTACTAGAAACATGATCTTGCTCTTTGGGAATATAAATGGGCACATTGTTAGTAAATTTTCATAGAAAATTGTGGTCAAGCACAAGAAATGCTAATGTCCATTAACACTCAAATAGCATTTAAAGGGAAAGTTTATCATTATGAATCTGTCATGTCAAAAAGTTGTGGCTTATATTTTCTCTTTATGTTTCATACCTCAAGAGGCTTGTTGATGTCCTTTTCATGTAAATTGATCATTTTTCACCATTAGTGGGGTGGAATCATGTTCCTATTTGAGAATCTCTTAAAAGATTATATGACATCTATGAAACGCTGTGACTTTTTACCAGAAAAATGCATATGCTCATGTACACAAAATTTATATATGACATATATTTTCTGCAGGTTGGTCAGCTTGAGAAATGCTACATTAAATGTTATGAGTAAGAATGCACAGATTTCAGAAGACACAACCTATGAAATTACAGCTCATTTTGGGAGTAAAAGATGACCTTTCATCAAATTATGAATTAAAATTTAGTTTTCTATCCAAATTTCTAATAAATTTGTACTCTGTTGCAGACATCTGGCTGCAGTTTGCCCCTGTAATAGAAAACAAATTATGAGGCCAGATTTTGATAAATTTAGCATGAATTTCCATCAGAATTTTAGGACCTTCCTAAGCATGACCATATGGGAAAGTGATCGGAGACGTATATGCATTACAGCTTTGTTAAGGCTGCGGGCGCTATTGTAACAGACAAGATACAATCCTAAGACATCTTTTTAAATGTAATTAAATTCCATTATCCTTCTGTGTTTCTGGGTCCCAGAGCAGTTTAGAAGAGTCTCTGCCTTGAGTTTGCCTTTGGAACCTTTCCAGAGAGGAACAGGTGATACCATAAACATATCCCTGTTGCCATTTGGGGTAAGCAAGTGGCTCTATGTGGCGGCTCCTTCTGGATGTAAATTGATTTTAATGATTTCTTTCTTTCTCCCGGGCAGGATTTATGTGGACATCATTCATGTGACACCCTGGGAATGGCAGACGTTGGGACCATATGTTCTCCAGAGCGCAGCTGTGCTGTGATTGAAGACGATGGCCTCCACGCAGCTTTCACTGTGGCTCACGAAATCGGTATGCAGCGCCTTTTCTTTTCCCTCACCAAATCAAACACTTGTAACAGCTGCAACAGGAACCAAAATACTTGGCAATTAATTCCAGATTTCTCCTGGTTCAGATGTACCATTGGGGATTAAATTTGTTTATATTTGCACTTTTAAGGTTAGCTAATATGAGCAAGAGAGAAGGCAAAGTCAGCAACACATTGGATGTTTTCTTCTGACAGTGTCATTTAAAAGTTCAAGAGAAATTTACTACTGCTACTGCCTTCTTACTATCTTTTTAAGCATCCCTAAATGACCCCTGGATGAAATTTGTCACAGACAACTTTGGTATGCAGAGATGTCCTTCTTAGAAGTTACTGGAGACAGTATTGATTCATCCAGGGCTAATCAGTTTGCACAGAAATTTCATGTGTTTTATTTCATTGTCAGTGGTAATTGTAGGCTCCTGTCAAAGTTCATCAATGGCTTATGGTAAATATTTCTGTCTGCTTCTTAATAGCAAGGAAAGGAAACCAAGCATGACACTCAACAGGGTTTGCTTTAAAATGTCACTTACCTAATTTGTTTGTTATAAGAAACACATCTAAATCCTACATCTATAAATACAGGACTGAGTTGATTGCTAAAAAATATTCCCAAAATAAAGAATATGTGCTTCCGAATTATTGACCTAGGTTACTAAGTGTATGAGAAATTGGCTTAGTACATTTAGGACTAGATGTTGGAATTAGACACAATTTTTTTGTCTAATTTTTTTTTCTGTCTAATTCCAACATCTAGTCCTAAATGAGCTCAATTTTTGCTAAATTACTTTCTACCTATGTCACACTGGTCTAATTAAGCTCTCTGAGCTCCAGTTTTCATATCTGAAACACAAGGATGATAGTGCCTATTTCAAGGAGTTGTTTTGGAGAGTAAATTGGGTAGAGTTTAGATAGTAAATGTTGTTTATATTCACATATACTTATGTTTTGCTTTCTAGCTAAATAGTTCATTTGCTTTCTAAATGTGTGTATCAACTCAGCATCAGCTTTCTGGGAGCAAAGCATGGTTTGATAACTATTGTACCTTTTGCCATCTATAGCAAAAAAGATTTTGATTTAAACAGATTTTGATGTTTAAGGTTAAAATTATAACTTTCAAATGGGAATTAAAACTACTTTCTTACATTCCTAATAGGCAGAGAGTATTTTCACAAAGCATCCATTTCTAACTGCTATGTTTTCTTTGGGGAGTTAAATAGCTTCGAATCCAAGGTACTTTGTAATTGCATGATTCACAATATTGGCCCCGGTAAAACAGAATTCTGTAGTTAAATGTCAATTCTTAAGTATGGTGTTAATGTTCCTGACACATTTCTTACCTCCTAAGCAGAAAAACACAAACATAAAACCTAAATGTAAATAACTATCCAATAGCATCTCTGAGAATAATTCAGTGTTTTATTGATTAAGCATCTTTGGCTTCAGTAGTCAAAGATCTGAGTGGAGTCCCAGCTCTGTCTCTGGGTTCTCTGTTTTATCTCAGACAAGTGATTTAGATACTTTGAGTCTCCATTTCTTCCCTATAAGGTGGGCTAATGAGGAGGCATGGCTCTCTTCTCAGCTGCACTAGAAGAACTGGTCAGCCTGAAAGCGTCTTTATAACACATCCCATTTAGGCTCCAGGGCAGAGATTATGTCTCTCATTTATGCCTATTAATCCTTACTGATAAAAACAGAGCCTAATACGGAACCTTAATCAATATTTATTACATATGTATGTATGTACTTGAGTGAGTAAGCGGGAGAAAGAAACATGAAACTTGCTCAAGGCAACATTCCGATCTGAAGCGGAAACTAAGAGGAATTAGTCCAAATACTCAGGAGGATGTAATTAAATAGAGGAGACTTTTAAAGTACACTAGTAATTAATCACCATCATTCAGAGTGAGAGGAGTCTCATAAGAAAGGTTCTAAATCCCTGGAAAGGCAGAAGCTGATTCGTCACAGGTCAAGTGGAGAAATTATGGGGAATAAGCAGCAGAGTTGAATGTTGGCATCATCCATCCACAGGATTATGGGCTCCAAATCCTGATCTTCAAAAGGAAGGATTCCACATTCTTTAAAGGAAGGGCAGTTTCTTTCCTATCTAGTGATTGGTTTTCACACATTGACTGCATCTGGGAGATTTCCCTGTAAGACAAACACTGTGGCAATAAATGCAGCTTCTTCAGGGCTGCTTTGACCTCAAGTTAACTAGGGTGGAAGGAAGAGCCGTGCAGGGTCACCTTTCCCAGCTCGCCTGAATTCCTAAGCCAATCTTGGGTTACAGGGCTGATGCAGCAGTCTGAGAGGCAGGAAGCCAGATGCTGATAAGAACAAACGTTATATTAAAACTAAATATATACATGTGTGTGTACACACACAGTAAGAATTTTTCTCAATAGTACAAGAATATTAGACATAGTTATACAAGGAAACAATGTAGAAGAAAGGTGGACTTCTATATGAAAACTCAAACCTAAATCTTTGATATATGATTGCGCTGTTGCGTCCACTAAAATTTTTGGTTGGATCATCTTTGTTTATTTCTTTGGAAGTCCCTGTAATTCATTGTCCAATCAAACACTCTCTACTTAACTTCCCTTTTGTATTACATATGGGCTAATCTGAGCTATTTAAGGTCTGGAAGTGGGGGAATATGGATTCAATTCTGCTTTCATAAAAGAATCTGGCTTTCATTCAGTTTATTTTCTAATCTCCTTATTATTCTTTAATTTCACTTTTTGCCTAAATATTATGAACATGTGTTATAAAAAAATAAGCCTTCAACATTTAGGAAACATAGCCTGACAAAAGATTTCCTGATCATCTGTGTATTATTACAGAGTCTTGCCCCTCCAGCCAGTGTGATCTTGGATAATGCAGCTTGCTGCTTTGTTTCCCATTGCTGTATTTTTTGGATTGCTGTGTGAAGCTCTCAGTCTGAGCTAACCATGCTCTCAATTTTAATTCTCCTCAATTCCTGCAGTCTTCCCTCTTCCTATTTGTTTGTTTTTGTTTATGAGATGGAGTGTCACTCTTGTTGCCCGGGCTGGAGTGCAACAGCGCAGTCTCAGCTCACTGCACTCTCCACCTTCCAGGTTCAAGAGATTCTCCTGCATCAGCCTCCCAAGCAGCTGGGATTACAGGCACCTGCCACCGCACCTGGCTAATTTTTGTATTTTTAGTAGAGATGTGGTTTCACCATCCCCCTTCCTTTTTACTAGACATTTGTGCCTTTCTAGATTCGGAAGTTGTGGATATGGTTAAAGTATGGTGATGAAAATGAAATTTTGAATGCTCAGTTTTCCAGTGTTTTAAATTTGCTCTAGCCTCATTCCAAAATGTGTAATTTCCTTTATGCAAACAGTGTGAATGTGTTACTGTGCTCAAAACACAAGCAAGGAGAAGATTCCCAGGCAGTTCCCATAATTCTTCTACTTCATTTCTTCTATAAGCAGTAAAAGGATATATTTGAGAGAGAATTACACTTTCATTAATCTATATACAGGTTTTCATGGAAGTGCACAACTGTTTCCTCTTTCTCTTCATAGTGGTTTAAAATAGAAAGTCATATCTATTTTGTGCATGAATAAACTGAATCAAAATTTTCTTTTTAGTTCATGAACAGCCTGGGCAACATAGGGAGATCCTGTCTATATTAAAAAAAAAAAAAAAAAAAAAAGCGGGGCATGGTGGTGCATGCCTGTAGTCCCAGCTACTCAGAAGGCTGAGGTGGGAGGATTGCTTGAGCCCAGGAGATAGAGGATAAAATGAGCTATGATTACACCACTGCACTCCAGCCTGGGTGACAGAGTGAGCCCCCCACCTAAAAAAAAAACTTATCTTGATAATGAACACATAAGGTAAATAGAGGTGGAGCTGAAGTTTCTATCTGACACTATTTCTATCCATGGTATTAGATTACTTGAAGTCAAAATGACACAGGTTAAAAATGAACAATTATGAAGAGTTACTCTTTTCATATACCATTTGATAACTAGAACACTTCTTTTTTTCTGCTAATTCTTTCAGAAAAGCTGCTAGATTTTGAAGGTAACTAATCAACTGATGCCAATACAGACTTCTGGAACATGGATATTGATTGACATTGACTCTGGATAGGCAGTCATAAAGTGCTTTCCTTCTTGTGTTATATGCATGTAAATGTTGGCTAAATTGCAAACTATCAAAAACACAGTCTCCATCCATGTTCCTTGAGTGGAGGCAGGAATGTGTTTGCAGCCACTTTACAGTCCAAATGTGAACTGCAGAAAGTTTTCAAGTTAATGTAAGTTTACATTTGGAGTTTATATTTTAGCTTGTCAAACTTTTATTATTGACTTGTAATAATAAAGATTTCACCTGCTGCACACATGGTTCTTAAAAACAATAATTTTATTGATGTTGGGCCAACTTCTAATATGCTAGGAGGAATAATCTGATTTTATTTAGACTAATGAAATCCATAATTTGCAAACATGCCGAAGCTTTGCTTTATAGTAGTTAATTATAAAATGCACTGAGTGAATCTCTCCACTGTGAAAGACTCCAGTGTGCTTCCTAAGCTAAACTCAGGCAACTTAAAAAGTTAAGACCAAATATTCAACTGTGACTTCGGAAGTGGTTGAGACACAACAGCAAAGCCGCCTGTGTTTTGGTGTGGTTCAAAGGTGTTCCCTGGTTGTGCTGATATGTGTGTGTGACTCTGCTTCTGTAGATGATGAGATTAAACACGGCCATATTTTGAAAAGCTGCAGAGGTTCTTGAAACACCACAGACCAAATCCAAATACACAGAATCAGATGTCCAGGCTGGCTGTAAGATGTGAAGTGAGAAGGAAACTAGGATTAAACCTGGTATTTGCCCACAAACCCATTGCTTTAATCAACAAGCAGTTTGGAGCAAAGCCGCACTATGTCTTTCTTGGCCCCCAAATAAAATGTGGGAATAAGTTTTTGCTATATGTTGAGCAATATTGAGATAT